TATTGATTGTTAAAGAAGTCTTACACAAAACATTATTTGTAATGATGTAATTTTAATGGTAATTTCTGTCATATGGCGTCTAAATACTGACGAAACTGAAAGTATGTTAACTGGGTAGACCTACTTTCACTTACGAATATACATTGATTTGTTGAATATATTTAGGTTATACTAACCCACACAGAAAATATAAATGAAGTGTCATTTGTTTCAGCTTATTGTTCAATGATTTTTAAGGAGGTCAGTAGTTTATCAATAGGAACGAGTTTAAATCAACAATATTCTAACGTCTGTTTTCTATTATTTTTTGGATATAAAGCTATACTAAACGAGATTTAAAGTATTTGTGTCAAAACTAGAAATTTGTATAAGAAATGAGTAGTTTTAATCTATTAAGGAACAGCTACGTGTGTATCTAAATAAATTATGTTTTGGACCTAGTAGCTCATGTCTCAACGAACAGTCATTCCTTTAAGACTTACGGCAAACGTAAACGCTTCCATTAATTTAGTCAATCGTGAAAACCGTTTATTAGTGTTTATGATTAAGTCAAGTATTAAGGAAATAATGTTTTGAAAACCGTTAAATTTACAGATCCGAAAATTAAAATAAGTTCGTGTTAAGTCGTTGTTTATCGAAAATTGTGAGTACCAAATGTGAAATATACAGTATATTTGTTTCTATTGACTGTAGGCGTAATTAATCTCACTAGCTGACTAATTCAGGATCTAACGATCCTGAGATGAGCGCATAAACCCCAGACTTTTGATCAAGAGCTCAATGATTTCTGTTTCTTTTTTTTAGCTAGTTCCAATATTGTACTGCCACCGTGTTTTTGTTTCCGGTAACACATATTTTACCACAGGCATATTTACAAAGTTTATTGAAGGTAAAAAACCAATTTATTTCTTCGTACTGGCGTAACATGTATCAAATTTAGGAATAACAAAATTTACTGAAAACCACAATTCGAACAACTCAGTTTACAATACATAAAAAATGTTATTCTTCATGCACATATTATGTCATCATTTGATATTAAGTTAATAAAGCGTGATTAACCAGAAGATTATTCAAGGTTTAATGTTTCGTGAGTGTTGTAACGTGTGAGACTGCAGGTTTTGATAAGCAGCGTATTTATCGATCGCTTCTGTGACAGTGGACACGTAAACACGTAGTGGACGACCTAGTGCCCTGATTGGCCCCGCTTCGCAGTCTGTCCCAGCCAGTTGAGTCAAGAACACAAGTCACAGCCTCTGAGTTATGAATCCTTGTATTTCAGACATACTCTATTTATATATCAAACAAACAAACCACATCGTACCATAAAATAGGAAACAACATTTACAAAATATTTAACAAGTGAAATAAACATCGACCAATAAGAAATGTACATTTAAGGTCCAAGGACACCATAGACTTAACACGATAATTATTGGTATATTTTTCCGACTATCCTAACAGTGAGATAGTGTGGTTCTTAGTATACCTGATTATTAGACTTCATTGTGTTATCCTCTTTTTACTTTGTACTTTAAATAGTGACAAATACCATTGTGAATTTGAAATGGGATTATAGCAGCTATTGAAAGAGAAGAATGTAATCAAAGTTTGTAATGTTCAATTCATAAATTATTTATTTAGCATATTTGTGGTTGCATGTTTCAATAATCTTCCGGGAAGCAGTTTGAAATAAGAAAAAAAAAGAGAAATATCGTTCTGAATACATATGAGATAAATGATAAAAATTAGTATGATTCATAGTGCCTAGCTATTGCAATTTAAAGTAACTGTCTTATTTACTCTCAAAAATGATCAGGGTATGAACGTTAAAACATTCGTAAATAATTAATTTTTAGCTTATCAGAAAATGCAAGATAACAATTGGTTTAAAATAAAGTCGAACAGATATGAAAAAAGCCTTTCGTAAAACATCTCGTAGTTATTCTGTTTATCAAAGGAAATATAGGTAATTTTTATGATCAAGTATGACAGAATCTCGTAAACGAACACTTGATTATTCATATCAGAAGGGTTTTGTGGATATTATAGTAATTTCAATGGTTAAGATCATGAGTCAGTTGAAGTTCAATTTCGTAGATTAATTGAAGTTAGATATTAACACCGTTGGATGCCGACTCAGTGGTCTAGTGGTTAAGTGCTCGCGCGCGAAATCAGTAGGTCCTTGGTTCTAAATTCGCAGGGGCGGGGTCGTGAATGCGCACTGCTGGGGAGTCCCACAACAGGACGAGACGCCCGTTCAATGCTTCCAGGTTTTCCATGATGGTCTAGCTTCAAGTGACTCATGATCTCAACCATTGAAACTTACCTATTACTTGGAGCTGAATTTTAAGATTAATAAAAAAAAAATCAAAACACTTCCCTTCATAGGTTAAATGTTGATTGACAATATTAATTGTACTTATTCATCCTTATTAATAAAAAGTTTTGTTTCCTTAATTGGACTTAGATTTAAAAATTATTATGAGAAACAATGGAAGAATAATAATTGATTATTTTCAAAAAAGAATTTTTTTTATTTGTGAAATGTATTGATACCAAGAGTTTCATGGAAATAATGTGATATCTTATATAGTATACTTGAGATTAATTGCTGAAAATCCTCAGAATATAGGTATTTATACAATTTTTTGATCAACCTGGATCAAAACTCTTGAAAATGGAATGAACGTATCATTTTATTAATTGGATGAAAGTAAGAGAATAGTGTCATTGGGGTCAATAAATAAGTCTTTTGTAAAATTTGAGTAAACAGTCAACAGTTAATTCAGCATGATCCGTGTAACCCCAGTTCAGTCTGGATGATCTACAGTAAACAAAGAATATTAAAACTCTATCAGATTAATTGATTCTTATATCCTGTATTTGATTAATTTTGAATCATTTAATCGGTATTGTTGTTTATATTTAAACTTAAGATTATGTCTGTGTTGAGCCAAAATAAGCATGTTAGAAATAAAAGGATAAAGGAAGTATTCCTTTTCTGAAGTTGGGTTTTTAATGTCTGGGTGTAAATATTTTATTTGTCTAGACACTTACAGCATTAAACTGATAAAAAATATTGATTGTTGACGTGTTAAATAGAGCCTGTTGTCCCTGTCCACTTTTCCGGAGTTATCGATTCAGCAACAATTCAACCGCCTACAAATTTACTTTTATCCACTTGTAAACAGTTCAGAAACCCTTAAAAATCTAGTGTTGTTTATGAACGATTGAAATTGCTGAAAAATTCTTATACTCAACAACAGCAAAAAAAGCAATAACCTCAATTGATCGTTTGAAATCAACTTCACTAGACAAAAAAAATGAGAGGATTGATAGTGCGAATACAAATAAACAGTTTGTTGATTACGTTTCTTGTAAAATATTTGATGTTATTTTGTTTGTACTCTATGTTAACTGTGTTGTTTTAGTATCAAACTCCATCTATGTATTTACATTCAATTTTTTAATCATCTCATATAACATAAAAACATGTATATATTTAGTGGCCCTAGATCTGACTCCAATAAGATCGAATGAATAATTGTTATTGAAATATACATGTCACCAATCCACGTATAGAACCATTGACTTAAATCAAATTAGTGAATAACGAAATTAAATAAGTCAAATACGGGAATGAAGTTTTGAATACGTTCATTTTGTACAATCGTTGATGAGGACAGACAATCAGAGAGACGTAGCGACGAAAGCTAAGAGGATAGAGAAAAGTGCAACGAAATGACGCGTGGTGGAGAAGGCAAATGAATCAACTCGATTTAATTAAGCATTAATCGGTATTTATAGTCACATAAAATTAAGTAACAGACATGTGATGAGTAAGATAAGAAATGCACACACAAAAACAGTCAAGATTGATAAGCGAATAGTTTCACAGGTTGAAATCATGAGTCAATTGAAGCTAGACCACCATGGAAAACCTGGAAGCACTGGAGGGCCGTTTCGTCCTAGTATGGGACTCCTCAGCAGCGCGTATCCACGATCCCGCCCCCCGCGGGATTCGAACCAAGGACCTACTGATTTCTCACGCGAGCACTTAGCCAATAGACTACTGAGCCGGCATCCAACGGTGTTAATATCTAACTTCAATTAATCTACGAACAATTAACAAAGTCAAAATGTGACTGCAGAAGGATGAATGAATTGTATTGTCCGGAAGCTAGAATAATCTATGAAGGATTGACATAGTGCCAGCCATTATAAATATATATTACTTCAACTTGAATTTTCATTATGTGATGTATTCTTTTTTTGTGTTGACTACTACAAACATGAGCTTTTTTTCTTTCTGTTCAAATACGCACGCTCAGCATACCTATTGTACACATTTGCAATGTATACATATTATTTTCAGTTTTGTTTTATTGAATAATATTTTTATTCTATATATTATATTAGGCCTTTACATTTTTTTTTTGAAAGTCAATTATACATGATAATGTTTCCTTCGGACAAAATAGATAAGGAAGGTATGAGCTATGTAGAAATGGTCAAGAAGAAAGTAATCTGTGAATAAATATTGTTTATACTTCTATCTTTAGAATTTTATATAGTTTGTATATATTTGTCATAATTAATCATTGTAAAGTTTGTTTAAATTGTTATGTTGATTACCTTTTATTAAAACCGTAATGTAATTTAATAACAATTCATACAAATATACTTTGAGTACATTCTCTATCTTCATTCTTAAATGTATTACTGATCATTTTTTCACATTACTAATAAAAATTGTTCTATATACATTTTAGTTGATGTTTCAAAGCTGTTGAAAAATTTACGTCTACATAGTATAGTTGAAAGTAATATTTTATAACTATAATTTCATTAGTTGCTTGGGCTCTTTCAACATTCAGATAAAATTGTGCTTGTAAGTAACCATTGTATAATTATTTCTTATTTGTTCTAATCATGTTTTATGAATACATATATGTGTATGTGTTGTGTTCATTTGTGTGACATTTTGTTCTTTGATTTTGTATATGACAACAAGACAACTAAATTCGATCATTTTTGAAGCATTCAGTTGGTGTTCTTGTATTGGTAAACAAAACAAATGCAAATTATGTATTTAGCTCTCATGAATGAAGTGATTTTTGAAATAGAGAATGGAAACGAAAGTTAAAAATTATTATTATGACTAATTTTACTCAAAAATCTATTCAACTTGTTTTAAATGATTAATGGATAATTAATTTGATGTACATTTATTTCCATGAAGATTAAACTACAAGAAATTCAGAATTTATGGTTTGTCAGTAGTATGATTCAATATTTTTCATTTATTATATTTAATGTCTATATAAGTACGTATATTCCGGTAAGTGAGTACATTTTATAGCAATTAAGTTTATTCACATTTAATTTGGTTAAGCTCTTTTGTTAACTATATATATATATATATATATATAAATCCTTTTCATTGACTCGCTCATTCACTTGCACACTTGCTTTTCGGTGCTACTCTTTCATGCTTGCTTAGAGTTTTTGTAATTTTGGTTATCTGTGAGTAGTGCAATAACAAACATAATCAACACTTAGTATTTGCTTTTTGATTAATACACCGTTAGGGAGTTATCTAGTGATGGTTATAAGGACGAACTGTATACGGAGTTTAAAGATCATATTGAATAGCGACCACCACAATTTGTTAAAGTTAACATTACAGAATAAAATATACCGTGATAAGAATAAAATCTAGGAATACTGAATAACCGTTACATTATAGATTTTCATTTTTGACCAATATTTTAAATATCTCAAACGTTTTTTTTCTTGAAAAAGATGTATCCAATCTCCTCCGCTTTTTCAGTACGAAAATTTGCTGTATAGTCAATATGACAATAGGATCATTTATAAAAACATACAGTGCCCTCTTACATTTAATGGTATGTTTTGAGATGACAATCAATCAAAATATTTAAGTTTTGTGCAGGAAATTTTTTATCCTTGCTTGATTAGACTAAGTTATTTCGAACTTAACTTGGGCTCAATAATTCCTCACCTTATCTTTAATTCATATGAATACCAAATATAAAGTGAAATATTGTTTAGTTGAAGGACTTTAATCACTTCTGCTAATATAATATCAGTTATTCAAGAATTTTTAAAGATTCACTACATGCTTAATCTAGTATTCACTGATCATACAATGCAATTATTAAATAGTCTACTCAAACATCGACATGCGATTAATCAAATCTTATATGTGATGAATAAAACAAAAATTATCCTTAAGGCAACCAACGAAAAGTAATTGAAAAGAGTTCAAATAACGGAACTACCGATAAATGATACACTTATCTCTGTAATATTTTCATAAATGTACGTGCTGAAGATAAAAATGAAAAGCGCTAGAAATGTATGTCAAGCTTTAATAATCCTATTAGGTAATGAAATAAATAATATGATGAGATTGATACATCATCCCTTGATAAACACACGTAGTGACGAAGTACTATTAATATTTTCTGCAATCTGAATCTTCAAGTGGTTTGATCATTCTTTACAGATATTTTTATTAAAAAAATAATGAATTATTAAGCTAATACTTAATTCAGTGACTTAATTGCTCTTACTAATATAAAAGAAAACAAATGAGACGGATATTAAGTGAAGCCAAACTAAACATTTAAAAAATCTGTTTTTACCGTTATAATGTGTAGATGATCGTTTTTCTAACTGATCACAATTCACCTTACAGATACTTATCAACATGACAACAAAATATTCAATGATAATATTATCTCACAGATTGAAATCATGAGTCAATCGAAGCTAGACCGCCATGGAAAACCTGGAAGCACTGGACGGCCGTTTCGTCCTAGTATGGGACTCTCAGCAGTGCACATCCACGGTCCCGCACCCCGCGAGACTCCAACCCAGGACCTATCGGTCTCGCGCGCAAGCACTTAACCAATTAGACCGCTGAGCCGGCATCCAACGGTGTTAATGTCTAACTTCAACCAATCCAAGAAGTTGCGACACCGTATACCATTGTCTTCAGTGGGCTGATATCTGACAACAGACCTGGTTAAACTCCACTGGTAACGGCTTCTCACTAGAACTCCAGGAGTATCTCTTGAAGTCAGTCACTGATAGGTCCTGGGTTCGAATCTCGCGAGGGGCGGGGTCGTGGATGCGCACTGCTGAGGAGTCCCATACTAGGACGAAACGGCCGTCCAGTGCTTCCAGGTTTTCTATGATGGTCTAGCTTCAATGACTCATTATTTCAATCTGTGAAATTCCTAAAATCTCCACAAACCCCTTCTTCTGATAATATTATCTACCAACTTTTTATAATCAGTTTGAATAAACCCCGAATATGATGTAATAAGAATAAAAACCAAATTCACCATTTTGTATTATTTATTTTAAATCTTAACATTTTATCATCATTCAAAATTTTACGGGTATTTAAAATAACATTTAGAAAATAAGATGAATACAACTTCATCACAATCAGTTTGTCGGTTCAAATTAAATAATCTAATAATGTATCTATGGAAACAATTTTCATTTATATATATAGTTTTATAATGGTTTTACATGTAGAGTACAATCAGGAAGCAATCAGAAACTAACTAAAAATAGTTAATTTAATTGCCTTATTATATGTAAACTAAAAACTGCTCAGGAGAAAATATTGTATAGCAGTAGATGTTATATATTATCATCTAATTTTTTTCACAACTTTGTAAGTGCTTCTTTATTCTATAATAGTATGATCTATATGGTTTACGAAATCACAACCGTATAGGTCACTTTATTTTCTAGTCTTTTTAATTTGAGGAGAAATGTAAGCAGATAGAGCCTAGTATTATCTTATATTACAACTGCTTACTCTGTTTTCTAAAGGAATAACTTATCAGCATTAAAGATTTATAGTTAGTAAATCATCATCCTATCAGTTGATTTCTAGTGTCATCAGGATTAATAACTGTCTAGTTTATTCTCCAGTGACACTGGAGTACATAATTCCATTATTTTAGGAAGGATTACCCTATTCTAGAGACCTCTATTTTGAAAACATTATCTTTGCAGAATTTACTGACTCTCAAAAAATCGAGCGTGTTTACAGAAAAGTAATCCCTGATAATTTCTTAATAACAATAACTCGAATTATTCAATAGCTTTATTCTATTGATCACTAACAACTATCCCAACTGCTATTTTACAAATTAGAAAAATGGTAACAAATATGGTCCTTTCAACTGTAAATGTAAATCTAGATAATTACATAATTTCTAGTCAGTAGTTACGATGATAAGATAACAACATTGAGGCACATGAAACTGTGGTTGACTTCTATTTTATCCATGATTGTAAAACGTTTTCTATTCTTCAATTTGACAGATTGTTGAGAGTTCTCCTCTAGAGGACTGATCAGTCTGTTAGAAAAAAAAGAAAGATAAAACTGAGAAACATTTTACTGATACGTATCGTAGATAGCACGAAAAGTTTACTATGCAATAATTCGAGATCATCCACCTATCGAATGAAACAGTTATCTCGGATTATCATGAATTAAGAATCAGGCTATACCGTAAAATTACCAATTTAAAAGATGTAGATCATTAAATTCAGGCTCAGTGGTTTACTTCTATGTTATGAGTTCTTAAGATCCTAAAATCCATCTTTAGGATGAAATAGCTGTTCAGTAGTCTCTGGTTTGTAGTGGTTCTCAAATGTTTATTTTTTTATTGTCATAACCATCTCCAAACTAAAAATCTTTATTCTGATTCAACATTTTCAGTTTTCATTGTTTTTTTGCATGCAAACAAACCATAACAAAATGTGTCCCATATCAAAACAAAACAGCGGTTCAGTATTTTCTGGTTTTTAATGGTTATCTAACCATAAGCCAATCCATGATGTGAAGCTAGAATAAAGATATTAGCGTTTTTAATATTAAGAATAAATTAGTATCCTAACTTGCAAACCGGAATATTACAAACCTATCATAGCATTCATGTAATTAGTCTTTACTATTAAGATATTCTAGAAGAGCATAGTAACAACTTCAGTTGAAAAGTAGGTTAGATAGAAGATCAAATAAAACAGATCACAACTTTCTATAAAATATTCAATATCAAGCAAGATATTTGCTTTCATCTTCTAACAGTAATTCATTGAAGTAGAGTTACAAAATATGTCAGAACTAGTTAAAGTGGTATTATAAAAAATCTTTATTTTATCATGGTAAATAATCAGGTTTTTACTTTTACTGTGTACATTAGGTCTTTCCAAGATTGTTTATGCTTGTTTATGATAAATGTGAAAAGCATGTAACTTGGTTATGAGTTTTATTAGGATAAATTTACATATTTACGACTCGACGGTAGGCTCATTCAACTATTGTATTGTTTATCTGCTCACTGTAATTTAGACACTCAATCCACTATGTAACTTTCTGTGTGAGTCTGATTGAGCACATGTCAATTTTTAATCTATTCTCCCATTGGTTGTAACACACAGACAATCAATAATTCATCCACAATCGAATAACACTCATTAATATGTATGAATGTCTAGCATACACATACAGACTCGTTTTCCCTGTGTGCTTGCTTCCTGTACGCTTGCGGATTTTACTAATCTTTAACAACAAACTAACTCTATAACTGGTGTTCAGGCTTTTGAATACTCTCGAGTAAATCCATAATTCTACTAGGAGATTTAGCCTGCGTTAAATACTCAGTTAACGGAAAATTATTTATTGGAGTTAGGTATAGAGGAAATTAGTCTCCACAATTCCATTTTGCTTAAGTAGAAACAACTACACTCAAAAACTTTAATACGTAGACTTCAATTGGTATTAGCACTTGGAACATAACCTCCCGAGTGTTTCAGAATAAAACTTTATACGACCTTTAGATAAAAAAACTGACATATTCTCCTTTAAGCCGCTATCTTTAAAACTCAATAAAACTGGGTCACTGAATTATATTTTCATTGGATATAAATGGTTCACATCAGTGACATTGCTCTCATTCATGGGCAAATTCATTTTATAATCAAGTATGAATTATACTAAATTCACGCATGCCATAAATAAAAAAGGAAATGTTGATGTGTTTGTCTTAGTTTGCAGCTTTTGTTGAGAATTTTTTCAAATCTTTGAGATTTCTCCTTTGTTACAAAATTACAAATAATTTTCATATCTTTTTTAAAGCAGAAATTGTATGACATTTTTCCGATGTAATTAATTAGAATGCAGCTAGTAATTGAATAGTAGAACGAGAACAAACTGATACAAATAATAGCTTGGAACATCGGGAAGTACTGTTGATTTCTGTCAGAGAAATCATTTTGTTTATG